AGCCAGGTAGGTTCAAAAAGAGATGGTTCTAGGAAAACTGTTCTCAATGCTGGCCACACGTTACAACTATCTGGGAAGCTTTAAAACAAAAATACCAATGTTCGGGCTCAGAACTCCAGAGGTGGGACCGTGGTATCTGAATACTCTAAAAGCTCCCAGAGAATTCCAATGTGTGGCCAATGCTGTCACGGTTAAGAACCACTGCTTTAGAATTTCCTAGTATGGTTATCCTATAGGTCGCTAGTTTTGTGGCATCTTCTCAGGCAGGTGTGGCTAATCAGTGCTTCTCAAACTTCCATGTGCCCGAAGGCCACCTAGGCGCTGTTTAAAATTCAAATTCCCAAGCCCCATCCTTAGAAAGTCCTAGAGGATCCCGCTTGCGCAACGCCCAGGAATCTTCGTTTTCTGTTGCACTCCATCCCAGGGTCGCAACCCCACAAATTAGCGGTGAGAGATAACCTCCATGGGGAGATCAGGACCAACTGCGAAGGGCTGGTGGAAGAAAAAGGACAAATTCGTGATCACAGATCCCGGGACTACTGAGGAGACGTGAGTGTGACCAGGAGGGTGGCGCTGGGTGTGGTCAGCTCTGGGTTCCGGAAAATTCCCTCGGGGCGGGGGCGGGGGTGCTGGGGGGCGTGTCTCCGCGTGCCCCGGGCCCCGTCTCCCCGGGCCCCTTCTCTCCGCCGCCGCTTCCCACCTTGCGCGTCTCCTCCGAAAGCCTCTGGACCGCTCTGCTCGGCTCTCCTGAGCCTCGACCAGAAGGCGCGCCGGGAGCCGCAGTGGGGAGGGGAGGGGCTGCTGGAGGAGGGGAGGGGGCGCGACGGGGGATTCCCGGCTCCAGTCACAGGTCGGCCGCGGGCCAGGGCGCGCGCACCGTGTGGCCGGGTGTCCGGGCGCGGCCACGGCCTCGCCTCCTCGCGCTCGCGAGGCCGCCTCCTCACCGCGCCGCCGGCGCTGCCCGGGGGCGGGGACTCGCAGCTGCGGAGGCCGGAGACGCGGCGGCGTTGGAGGCTGCGCGGGGCGCGGAGCGGGCGGGAGCGTGAGGCCGGCGGCGGTGGGAGAGCGGCCCGGGCGGCCTGGGAGCCGGGCCTCGCAGCACCGAGCGGCCACCGGAGCCGCTGCAGGAGGTGAGTGGGCGGCGCGCGTGCTCGGCGCGCCCTCCGGCCGCACTGGCCGCCTTAACTTCTTGTCCCTCCTCGGCCCCGGGCCCGCGCCCAGAGACCCCGCGCCGGGTCCCGGAAACACCCCCCGGCTTATGCCCGGGCCTCAGCCTTTTACTGGAGTCGGCTCGGGGCCGGCCCCGCACCTCCCCGCGCCGGAGCCTCCTTCCCGGGGCCGCCCTGACCCGCCGGGTTCCGTCTCCCGGGCTGGGCTCCCCTGCGGAGGCCGGTCTGGGGCGATGCGGGGCCTTTCTTTTTGTTCTTAGCTGTGTCACGCGCGTCGGCATCCAAAGTCAAAAGCGAGCATTCTCCAAAGTCGCGCTAGTGCCTGCCGTGCGGGCGTGATTGGCAGGCGGGGAGGGCGGGCTGGCCGCGCCGCTCATCTCTTCCCCCTCAGCCCCGCGCGCGCTCGGGCAGCCACGGTGCCCAAGTTGGCAGCGGTCGCGTCCTGGCAGGTGACCGGGAGCTTGACGCCGGGTTCTCGGTCTGCGAGCCGCCAGAGGTCCTCTGAAACCCGTCTCAGGGATGCTCCGGGTTCCCTCCTGTACCAGTATTTCCCATCTTTGGCGGCGTGGAGGATCCACAGAACTTTTGTTCTGCTGTAAAAATAGTCTCCTGGGTTTCTATACTCTTTATGTGTCACACCCTATTTAGTATTCTTAATGATTGTTTTTTGGTAAAACAAAACAGGCAAAATGCCTATTTTGATGAGCGTTCTTTTTAGCGGAATTTAAGAATCATTGTATTCGGCAGGTAATGGTGGTGCTTAAGATATCCCGTTTACAAATTTGCAAAACCAGACTCGTGTGGCTTTCACGGTTTTGAGATTTCTTTTGTCTGGTTTGTGGTCTTCAAGGCCCAGTTGCCCTAAATTATGCAAATATTGAGGGACATTCCTAGGAGCAGAGTAAGATGTCCAGTAGCCAGCTTAAATATTTAACAGCTCTAGAGTGACTCTGTTTGACTCATGGCCATGAGATTGACTCAAATTTGGCGGTTTTAGTATTTCTGAATTTTTTGTAACGTGAGACATGAGAAGTGGAATCTCTTGTTGGTCCTCGTGGGTCTCCTAGGGCATCCCTAGCTCCTTCTACTTGTGTTACAGAAGATTAAGCCAAGCTCATGCTATCGTGAAGAATAGTTTTACTTTATTTGTAAACAGAAACCAGTAACTTGCTAAGGCTTGCTGTTCTTAGGTCAGAATTCAGTTTTTAAGGGGTCAGTGGTGAAAACATTGAGTTCATAGGATGTTTAAAGAAAACAGGTTAACTCTTCAAGACGTATTTTGTTCTCCTGTGAAGATACCACTTTTTTTTTTTTTTCTCAAAAATGAAAGACCAACGATGAGAGGAAGGAATGCTGGGGGGGGGGGTCAGATTTTGGGGACGTTGCTATTAGGAGGTAAGGATGCCATCTGCTTTCTAATTGCTGGCCCTAGGTCCAGTTATTGATGGGGGAATGAAAAGATTTTGCATTCATATAGTTTTTTTGAGGGGTGCGGCTGAAACAGCAGTGAGGATGGTTGACCATGTTAGGCCCAGGGCTACCTTCAGTCCATTTATGTGGCCACCTTCCCCCAGCAGGGAGGGAACTGCTGACTGTGCTGAAGATCCTGTGAATGTTGCAAGCTGGCTTTCTGCATCTGAAGCACAAAGGATAGCCAGGCAGAGCCTGGGGAAACTGCGTCTGCCGGGAAGGGTTAGAAGGTGGCCTGTCGCTTCAAGCCAGCTGTGCTGCGTGGGGAACAGGATCCCATCACGGGCAATTTAGTGAAAGGGAGCTTGAAGGTAGTGTGGTCCCTGAAGACCAGCCCTGCTTCTAAACAGGCTTGGGGGGGCCGGGAGAGGGGGAGGCAGGGACAGGGATGAGAGGCCCCGTGCCTGGGGCTTTAATTCAGTTGTATTATTGTTGTTTTTATTTTTCTTTAGAAAAAAATAAGGTGCCTTAGGAAAAGATTAATTTCTTTTTTAATGACCTGGGAAATGGGAAATAACATCTGTAATTGGGATAAGAAAAAAAAGCACTTTTTTTTGCTTAAAAAAAAAACTTGGTTAAAATTATTTTCTAAAAATTCACAGGAGTAAAGGGAACGGTCTTGATATGCTCTCGGCGTTCACCTTAACAAAGTGTGAATGTGATTTCACTTGCTCCCCCAAGATGGTCCTAGATTGTGGTTATTTTCTTTTCTAGACTTTTTCAAGTTACTGATGAAATTACATTGAAAGAGAGACTTGGTGTGAAGTTTAAGGATTATTTCCAAAATTCCCAGAGAGCCTACTTTGCTTCACAAAGAAATTTCCCCCATTTTCAGGAAAAAAATGCATACCTTCTCAGATTTTTACAACATTTTAATCTTATTTTCCTTCAAGGCTGCATTAATAGAACTTCCTCTAACTAAGGTTTTGAAGATTAATTAGTGCCTGACAGGAAGAATATATATGTAAAAATACTATATAATATGATTATAGTGATATATATTGTAGTTTGCTGTGGTTTCCAAGCTTTTTTGCTCATTCTTGTTAGTAAAAAAATTTTAACACCTAAAACGAATACAGTGTAATATGTCAATTATATCTCAATTAAGACCAATTTTTAGCACTCCTCTTATGTGTGTTTATTACTTAATTATAAATTATATACATGTGCTGTCATTGTTTTCTTGTATCTCAGGATTCAGTGTACACTTAGGGATGGATTCACTGTTAATCACAGTGGAAGTAAAACCCTTTTTCATATACTCCTTGAATTTTGAGTATTTTTGGCCTGGTTCTTGTCAGATCTGAGTACATCATCATTGTTTTTACTTTGTGATGTGGCTCAGGTGAAGCTGACTCAGGGCGGGAAGTGTGTTCCCAGCCTTGGCCTTGTGTTCACCTCTGCTTGCGTTTATTAGTGTAGCTTTAATTTGTGCTTTCTGTAGGAATCTTAAAGCTATTCATATCCTCTGTGGGGTTTAGTTTAGTTATAATTTGTCCATCTACCTCATTGTGCGCTTGCCAAAGTCAAAGGAGTGCTTCAGGCATCTCAGAGGGCTGGTGACAGGTGACCCTCGACAGAGGGTCTTTGTGAGGATGCAGTCAGTCAGTTCCTGCTTTTATTAGCACTATTAGTATTTCATGGTAGTATAATTAGTACGGTGTAACATAGTGTAAAATAATTAGTATATACATAATATATTTAACTTGTTATATGTAATATTTACATTACTAAAACATAGCTGCTATTCTACTTTTTGGATAAAAATAAATGTAACTTCTAGGATTTTTTCCCCAGCCACGTGGAGCATCTTTTATACCTTCTGGGATGCATGCACCCTGCTGGTAGACAGTTGGTTCTCTCACTTTAGCCACACTCTCGATACCACAGCAGTTCCTTTCAGTTTAGTATTTACTCGGTGGCAAGTAAATGCTCTCATTTAATTTTCACACCAGCCTTAGAAGACAGACCCCAAGGTTATCCCTTTACAGATGAGCCTAGGAGGTTGGGAGGAGAAGAGGAGCTGCCCCGTCAGCAAGTCAGAAACGGGTCCTCACGCTGCCCTGCATCTCCTCTCAGTTACCTGCCCAGGCTCAAGACAGGGACCTGGGTCTTCTTAGTGTCCCTGGTGGTGGGATCCAGCACAGAAGGGAGCCTTGGAATGTATTTGAATGAGTTCAGTGTATTTCTCTACTTCGTAATACATATATATGTTGTCATTGTTTTGTTTTAGAAGAAGCTGTAAAATAGTGTGATTTAATCTGGGAATGCTACAAATACAGCTTCAAAACTTGCTAATGTTACCATTATACATCTTCCTAACATCTCAATTTTTTATTGTTACTGTTTGGCTTTTGTATTAAAGATACGCTCATTGAGAAAAAAAATGATATAAAGCAAAAAAAATGAAAGCTTCATTCCTCTATATATTCTGCTCCCTTACTACAACTTGTATATATCCTTCCTTATAAACATTTGCTATATATTTTCTATGGTGGAAAAATATATTGATTTATTGAGTGTATTTTTAAAATTTTTTCAACAAGAGTAGAATATGATAATTACTATTTTGTAACTTTTTTCATGTAACAGTTTGTATTTTGATCATCCGTTGCTCCGTAACAAATCATCTCCAAGCTTAAAACCATCATTTTATTATTGCTCCTGATTCTGTGGGTTGACTGGGCTGAAGTCTTTTGAGGCCCAGTTGGGCTGGAACTTCAAGATGGCTCATTTGCTATTACCAGTTTTTAAAGTATTGCCTTGGTGAATTCTTGGACAGAATTTTAATATACTAATGATTGATTTAGAAAAATTTTTTTTAACTATTTCTCTGATATCAGTGCTGTCAGAACTGGAGGGTCTAGCCCATCAAAATGCTCTCTGTCATTTATATCTGTGTAGCAGATAGATGATTCCTTATCTTTCCTCTGTGTTTTCTGTATCAGTGAGGGAGGTCCTGTAGAAGCCATGTTGCTCTGGAATTAGTGATCACTTCATTCTGATTAAAGAAGAGGTACCTTTATCCACAGGTGAACAGTGACTTTGAGGTGGCCAAAGGGAGAAAACACCCTCGACGGAGAAGTTTCTTTAAATGGAGTCCACTTGAGGTTACTCTTTACCTCTTAGGGAGGTAAAAAGAAACCTTATTTCTCTAGGGCACACAGTAGTAGATAGGTTTAGGGACAATGTTTGCAACTGCAGATGGGAGGTGAGAAAATAGTAGAATAAAACGGAAGGCCAAAGGCCATGAAAGAGCTGGGAGGAAAAAACTCAAACTCAACCTTTAAACAGTAGGGAAATACAAGTATTTCTCCAAAGATAAACAACACACCCCCTCCAACATGTCTTTCCACTTTTTGAAAATAAATGAGTGCAGCCAGAACAAGATTCACTCGTCAGACTTGTCCAGTGAGCTCTGGAGAGGACAGTGGTTCTCAACCTTGACCTGCATCAGCATCACGTGGAGGGCTTTTAAACACAGACCCCAA